TTTTAACAAATATGAGAAATGCAAGCCATGCTCTAGATTTCAAATTTTGGACCATCTTTCGATAGCTTTTAAAATTATATTATTAAAATGTTGAGCATCACTAAAATAAAGTCCAATTCTCACTCTGTTTGCAAAATGTAAACACATGCAATTATAATTCCAAGGACCTGAAATCATTGAAGGACTTTCTGGGCTTAGAGAATTATTTACTCATTAAGAGAAAATTTTCCAATTAAAAGGGGCTCATAGCTTCAGGATGCTTCCTGAACACACTGAACACCTTACCACCAGCAGTGTCAAATCTCTGCAGCTCTCAAAGCACTCCTGAAAAACAGGCTTTGTGTTACTCATCTCAGATTCTCTTTGGGGTGAGACTCTCAGGAATAGCTGCCACTGTGCTAAATTTAGGCTTAAGTAATTAGCTCAGGATCATAAAACAAAGCATCTGCAGAGTATAGAGTAGACACAGATACTCTGGCCTCAGGTATAATTTTTAAACTGACCACACAGAAGAAAATACAGAACTATACATCACGTAATTTTAAACTGAGTTGGTTACAAGCGACACCTGAGTTTTTTAAATAATTACTTTTTAACTGATTACAAATAGGCTTTTATGCTTGGATCCTGATTTATCTTTAGTTAAACACCACTTAAATTCACGTTAACTCATTGTGTTCTTGTCAACAGATTTCAGACTGAGTCAGCTCTATGGTCCCTCCAAAGGGTCGTTTACACTCTTAAAACAAATACCATTTTATATGACTGCTGAAAAGAGCTGGGCAAGTGAGTTTAATCAGGTGTAACTCACTTCTCAAGAGTCACCAAACAAGCTTCAATGAATGGTAGCCAATGTTTGGCAGAAATATATTTCCACCAGTTTCCTCAACCCAGAGTTCAACCACGACTGGAAAACACGCAAAAAAACCCTTACCCCTCTCAGGCACAAGTAAACAAGCAGTCAGTTTAAGCTCTACTTAGAAAAGTTAAATGTGATGGTGACACCACCTCAATCACCTCAGGAGGGGAAAGGTGAGGACCATAGCACTTGCCTCATCCTGGCTGGGCAAGAAGTTTCAGGAATCCTGAAATTTCTCAGTCCCGTGCACCAAGCCGTACAGAGAGAGGAAGGCAATCACCATGCTGCCATTGGTGTTAACAAAAGCTCAGGGAAAAGAACTTTGGGCCCTTTCTCTCTTGTTGCTCAGTTGAAGACAAGGATGAACAAGCATGAAAAAAGCTGCAGCTAAAAAGGTAGCTATAGCACTACCTGCTGAATGTCAAAATAAACAATCTCATTTTGAAATTTAGGGGGAGGGGGGCAGAAATCCAGTCACATTCACATTCTCTGTAGGTCCAAGAGAAAGTCTGTTCTGTCTTAAATGACATTTTTCCAGCTCACATCCATCTTCAATAAATGCTCCTTTTCATACAAAAAATAACTCAGTACAGCCTCTCCTATGAAAATATTTTTCTCCTGGCACAACCAGGTTTCACTCCTAACCTCAGACGGGCTGACTACTTTGAGAACAGTCAGCCACTTCTATTGACTAAACAAACATGAAGAGAAATTAATTCTCTTTAAAATGCAGTTTTCTGCAGTTTTCATAACACAGAAAGAAGACAAAAATTTTAAAATATGGTCATTTTGTGCTACTTCCTTTCTTTAATTTTATTGTCAATCTAAACAATTAATACAAAGTTACTTCATTCTGTGAAGATTAAGAGACTTTACAGTATAAAATTCCCTGAGATACAATATGTAACTTAAAGGATCACATAATTCTCTATTTTATTTACACCATAGTCAAAAAGCAATATTAATTCTTCTCCGTATACAAAAACAGAAGATAATCATCTTCCTTTCCCACCCTCCACCCCAATATTTTAAGGCATGGAATAAAACACTTTTTCAAAATGTATTCAAAAATACTTTTCTACTTAAACAGAAAATAAACTTGCTTCACTTTTACAGATGGATTACATACATCACCTGCAATATGTTGTGGAGTCTGGTACCGGATCTACAATCCAGTTCGCTCAAGCAAACATTTATTCATTATTGAAGTTGGGCTCTACAGTGAATTACAAAAGCCAGCCCTTAGCTCATAGCAGTACATCAACTATTAGCCTCTGGAATGGATGAGCCAGAAACCAAAGTACATTTTTAGAGATGCTGTATTACCAGCTTCAGCAGCTGCAGGGCTGAATTTCCTCCCAAATCTAAAGGGAAAAGTGTGCAAGAATGATGAAACTAGAAAAGGCTTCTTGTCCCACAGCACAAGTGCTCTGCAATAATTATTACAAGACTGCAGCTTTCATTATAAAATTTGTGAAAATACTTGATGCATAACTTGCAGATACAGCACAACTGTGATCACCTTATTCAAACACGACACTTTAATTATTGCACAGCTCTTTTCTGAGTTATACAAACCTCTCGTTCACCAAAGATTTCAGCTGCTTTTCTTAGAGAGGCTGAGAAAAAAGCACTGGCTGCGATCTGTTGAAATTCCCATGCTCCTGTGGCCTGATCTGCCTGCAGCACTGCTAATGATGACACAGAAGAACTGCCTACCTGGACACCTTCTGAAAATGCTAAAAAATTTAGGACTGATGCATTAGTTTCAGCAGACTGATTAAAAAGTAGTGCAATCTCAAATATTAGCTCACCAATTTTAAGATTGGGGTTTTGTATACATTTACCTGAACTGTGATAAAAACTGAATAGAAAAAAAAGGATAATTCAAAGGGATTACCATGACACTTAGCTACTACCATTATTGCTATACTTAAATTAGATTTTTAAAATTATCAAAATCAATTTTACGGGAGAAGTAACAACCAGCAGAGAAACAGATGAGCATACCATGAAGAACACACTTTTGCTTTACATAATCACTTAAGACCTGTTCAAGTGAAAATGCACCGTTAGGGATCATCCCTGCTACACTCCAAATTGCGTTGACTGTCTTCTCTCCTTTTACAATAACATTTCTACAGCAACTCTGGCATTAACATCAGAAAGGTTCAGGAAGCACTTTCAGCCATCCTTCCTAGCACAAAAGCAGGAGGGAATAAACACAGAAGTCAGCAAGGTCTGATCTAGTAAATCTGTGCAAATTATTAATGAACTTCATTACATTTTTTTCAATAATCTTTGGTTCCACACTTACCTAATCATGGGGAACATTTAATTTAAAATAAATTACACTAGGCTGTCAGTTCATAAATCATAAAAGCACGTACCCAACATCCCTTACAGCTCAAGTCAAATCTAATCCTTTTCTAACCTAAATAACTCACAAATGCCAGCAAACGTGCCTGTTCTGATGCCCATCATTTATTTGCAGCTGACTTTCTTCTTTCCCCACCTGTTCTGTGCCCATGATTTTATTCTAAGTGAAATACCTGGGTAACTCCATGGATTATTCTTAAACAGGAGGTGAAAGAAGCCCTTAATCATTTGCACAGGATGCCTGTGGGTTATCACTTTTTGCTGCCTAATGTTATAGTCGCAAAGGGCAAGGAGGGCTCAGTTTCCTGAAGACGAGTAATTGCAATTTATGTTTCTTCTTGTATTTCATCATGCAAGATTGCAAGTAACCAAAAAGAAACCATATACTGACTACTAGGAATATCTTACTAGGAAGATCTTACTCCAGCAAAATGGCAGAGTCTGAAAGGGCGTAACTACTAAAAATTATCTCAGTAGGCACTAAGAAAATAAAGTTTTATCTTAAGAACCTATTTACTGATTAAAAAAACCGAGCCTGGAAAAAACCTCAACACCAAAGGAAAAAAATACTGTAACTCTTTCCTCTCCCTTTCCCTAGTCTTTCCTCAAACAATCTGTATTTTTACAACAGTTTAGATCTTATTCTCTACAGTAATTTTGTTTTTGCGTGGCAGTGATTTGGGACTTGGGGTTTGGGATTTTTTGTAATTATTATTTTACAAACAGCTAAGTGACATTCTGAGTAGTCTGTCACCCAACAGAATTTTTAAAAACACGTGCCATAAACCAAAACAATCACTACACAACAAGACAGTCTAATAATACTAGAGAAATAAGTTAGCCTTTCTGTATACGTATTCAATATAGTAATAAAAACCCTGTAGTTCTGAGCCTTTCCCTGCTTTTTCCTATATGGCAATAATTTTGCAGAGAAAAACACACAGACTCCTGTAAACATTTTCTAATTCCTGAATAAAGGGAGGGTGGAGATGTTCCAAGTTTTTTTCTACAGTCTGTCTTTTCCTGTTCTCCACTTTCATACAGGATAAACATGCCTAAGGTTCTGGTAGGCAATGGAAGAAATACTCCACATCATCTGAGCTGTTTGTTCCACTCAGATCCAGTCCCCTCCATACACCTTTTCCTAAATGGAAATATTATTTGGCTCAAAGCATTATTGGTTGGCTGCTGCAATTTCAAACATTGCTAAAAAGTGCTATTGTATCATTACATTCTTACGTGCAACATTTGCGGCTCAGAATTTGTCTGCAAATAGCTTTCACACACATAATAATCACTGTTAAAAATATTCACTTCTCTCTTCCGAGTACGGAAAGCCAGCACTGATCATGTATCCTCTGTAAGCAGAAGAAAGTTTCACAGTCCAGGAAGCTGTCATAGCCAACAAAATTGGTTTCAGCTGTATGGCTGAAGAACTTGACATTCCTTATTTATGCCAAGCTGTGCACAACTGTAAAGGTTTTGGATCTGTACGACTGCTGGAAGTTTAACTTTGCTCTTGAAGAACCATCTTGCCTGATGCATCTTTGTACTTTCATAATTTTGCACTTAAATAAAAATCTTCCTTTTGTACAGTTTTCACAGCTTGTTTATCTGTACCTGTATGCTCCTCTCACTGATGACAGCCTGCTGCATACCACCTCGGCTAATGAGCTCTGTGAGATCCATCCTTCCCTACGACCTCAGGACATGGTCCACTGCCGGCACAGGCTGACCAAGTAAGCCTCACTCGCCAGGGACATCAGCTTTCAAACCAGCTGGCCAGATTTCGTACGGTCTTGATTTGATCCCCAGCTGCCCTCACGGCCTCGCAAACCTTGCAGAAATGCTCGTCCCAGAACGAGGTGACGTGGACCTCATACTTCTTCCTCCAAGCAAAATACCTCCTGTAGTTGGGCTTGTTTTTATCGAGGAATTTCAGGTAGGTGGCCAGCAGCCGGGGGCTGGGGAAGTCGTCGACGTGGATGAAGGAGTCGGCAGGGATGAAGCGCTCATAGTTGGCCCTGCGGGGGCCGAGGACGACTGGGACAGCGCTGGCAGCGAAGGCGTTTCTCCAAAGCTTCTCAGTGATGTAGTCGGTGTGCTGGGAGTTCTCGAAGGCCAGGTAGAACTTGTAGGCCGAGACGG